TTTGATATTTCTCTCTCTCTCTCTCTCTCTCTCTCTCTCTCTCTATATATATATATATATATATATATATATATATATATTTATTTTATTTTAAAGAACACTACAATATCTCCTATATATGATATTTGAACTTAATCTTCGCTATTATCGTGTCAAAGTGTGCTTATTCTTAAGCGTATTTTATTTGCATCAATATTCTTAATCATTCATATAAGCGAGATTTCTTTTACAAGTTTCTTTTTCGTGGATTTAAGATATGACCAAACATTAAATATAAATATTTCTTCCAATAAAAATTTTAACTTTGATTTTTATTTTTTTATTTTTATGTTTTAATATTTAAGAGACGTTGCAATATTCCTTTTTATTCCACGATATAATATTTCCAGTTTTGAAATTCTATTAATTCCAAGTTTTAGGAGAAGTTTTAGCTTCTCAAAATTTTGAAATTGAAAATATTTGATTCTTATATTTGATTTCTTATTTAAAAATAATATTTTCATAAAACACATTTTTTCAGGGATTTTTTTTAATGTTTTTCACAAAATTGTTTCTTTGCTTTTATTCTCCTGATGTTGGATGAAAGTTTTATTGTTTCAAAAAGTTTTACCTCTCCTTAAGAGTTTAGTTGTAATTTTATTAACTAGTTAATTAAGTACTATAACTAAATTAATCATTGTTATAACTAGAACATTTGATAATTTATTTTTCTGAATAACTAATTAATACCAGTTTACAAATAAATAATTAGAAAAAAAATTTGTTTTCGGGACCCTTCTGGTCATCATTCCTGGAATATTTGCAAGCTGACGAGAGACCTACTTTCCACTTTTTGTCTGAAAGTAGGTGTTGACTACACACACTGAGACAAAGGGAAAAAGTAAAGGGTTTTCCTGTTAACTTAGCATTTTACCATTTGATTATGGTGCTCTGTAATTTAGACAGCATAACTACTACGTAAGTACTAGCTGAAACCAAACTTTGTTTTAAAGAATACTGACCAAAATGTTTTTCACAGAAATTACAAATATATATTTACAACTTAATCTAGTGGCATAGCTGACAAATTTGTATTCTTAAACAATGATTTTTAAGAAAAATTATATATATGAAACAAACATACATATATGATATAATTTCGTTAAAAACAATATATGATATAATTTACTATTGGTTAATTCATCAAAAACAAATTACGTAACATTGGTTAAAGTGATATGAGATTTGAATCTTTTAAGTAATGAATATTGCTTAAGTCTTTTGTACGAAAAAAAAACTATTGAATTTCATTAAGATAGTTAATCTTGTTGTTCAATAAAGACTATTATTAAAAAAATTATGGACATTCATATTAATAATATGTTAATAAATACTATAATTTTTATGTAGAGACCCAAGAGCATGAACATATTTTTGGTAGTTACTAATCAATGAGCATATTTTTAAATCCAAGAGCATGAATTAGAAAAGATCAATGCACATAGAATTAACTTAACTTAAAATATATGAAAAAATGTTATTCATGAGCCCCATTCGAGTTTATTCAAAATTAAAACGTTTACCTATTTTAAAAGTTTAAATATGTTAGTAACCATTGTAGGTGCAAAGTTTAGGTTGAATTCAACCTATTACTCGTAAAGTGATCACCAAATCCTGAGAATTATGGAGGTTATTGCATTTATATTCCCCAATTCATATTCAATAAATAACAGACTATGAGAGAATATATGTGAAAAGAACTCAACTTTAAAGCTTCATCTTAATCAAATAAGATATTAATTGGTGTAGTATATGTGACATATGTGATCACTTATGAAATAATGATGTTGTATATGTGACATATGAAATCAGTTATGAATGGCTAACTCCAAAATTTTCATGCATGTGTAAGTATGAACAAATGTTACAAAATAACTAGTATATTTAATATATGACATTGGAATCATTAAGATGACACAAAATATAATTCAAAATTTTAAAATATATCGGATCCAATTCGTTAAATCTAGAATTGTCAAAATGAACTTGAATTGAACTAATGGGTAATGCAAATGTTATTCGATAACAGTGTCATAATAATCCAACAACAATTATTAAAAAATCCTCTAAAACTATCTTAACCTCGTAAAATTAACAAATTGACTCACGTGAATATTGCTCCTAATATATACGTTAATCGATCTTATTATACGCATGCATCTCCAACATAGATAAAAAAAAAAAAAAAATTGCAGAAGAATAAAAGTGTTTACATCGAGTTTTGTTTATTTATGTGATAACTTTTTTAGGCTTGTTCGAAGATACTTGCTATGCTACATGTATGTTTCCTTTACGGCCTACACATTGTATGGTAAATGGCTTCCTTTCTTGAGTAGTTGCGGGAATTTTGACATTCACAACTCACCCCTTTGCTGTCAAACAAACAAAGCACCGAAGGATAATTCAGATTGGCTCGTATAGTCAGCAGAGGTCAGATCAAATGACCCACCAAATAAACCTCTCTTTGTCCACATCCACAGTTGTTACCCATTCATCCTCCCAGTCAAGTACTGTAACACTAATTTGTCCTTTAGGTTTCACTTTTATTATTTCTCATTTATACCCTTCGAACCAAATCAGAAGAAGAAAAAAAAAAAAAAAACCAAATGGGTGATGGGTATAGATTAAAATAGATTTGAAATTGGAGTGTTGTACTGTGTGAAGTGACTGCATGGGCAGATAGGTCCTTCCCGTCAAATCTATCTATGTAGCTAGCTACGTTGTCACTGTAAAAATAAAAGGGTTGCTGAGATGCTGAGTTTTTGGTTATCCGAGTTCTGAATTCTGAATCCTTTCCCAATTCCCACTTGCGAGCCCACTCTAGTGCCCATTTCATGTCATGCATTGCTCACTAGATTCAGCTACATAATAGCTACCTCACCACACGCTTTCAAGTTTCCAACGCGCATAGACACACAGACCCTCACCAAAATAGTTATATCCTAGTACTCTCGCTATTATTTCGCTCTCATTCTGGGTTTAAAGGTAGGGTTTAACGGAGGGTAGTAACTAGAAATAAAGTTTATAATTTTTAAGAAAAGAGAAGAGAGAGAGAGAGAGAGAGGAGGCAAACCCAAAACCAAAAAGACGTGGTCTTTCTCATTCATATATACATACACAGATCCCTATGGAATGAAGTGGGTGCTCCCCAATCTTCGCTCGTCGAGAATTCATTCCTTTTGCTTATAGTTTTGTTGTGTTTGGAGAGAGACACATTTGTGTTTTGTGGTGAGCGCATAGAACGATGAGTTTGGTTGGTAGAGGAGAAAAAAACTTTACATTGTTGTTGTAGCAACTAGCAGCACAACAAAAATCCAAGTCTTGATGTGCTGAGATTTTTATTCAACGTGATGATTAGTTTATTTGCCGAGCAATCATTGCCTTGCCTTCCTTACTGGTAGCGAGCGATTACATACCTTTTCGAGTAACCAAAAAGAAAAAACAAAAGCAACAAGATGAAGGGCATGAATGAGAGTAACACCGATGATGGAAACAATCATAACTGGTTGGGCTTCTCTCTCTCACCCCACATGAAAATGGAGGCTACTTCAGCCACTGTTTCCAACGCCGCGGTTCCGACAAGCTTCTACATGTCTTCTCCTCACATGTCCAACTCCGGAATCTGTTACGGTGTTGGGGAAAACGGTAACTTTCATTCTCCTCTTACCGTAATGCCCCTCAAGTCAGATGGCTCACTTTGTATCTTGGAAGCTCTCAGTAGATCACAAACGCAAGGTTGGTTTTTCTATATTTATTTCTTTTGGAAAAAAGTAGTTTTATTTTTAATTTTATTTTTATATTTTTATGCCATGTATGGCCCGTTAATAATTACTACCTTGGTTGCATTATTGAAGTGATGGTGCCAACTTCCTCTCCAAAATTGGAGGACTTCCTAGGTGGTGCAACTATGGGAACTCACGAATATGGTAGCCACGAGAGAGGGGCAAATGCAATGGCTCTGAGCCTAGACAGCATGTATTATAACACTCAAAATGTAGAGGCTCAACCCAACAGAGGCTTTCTTTCAGAACCCTTCAGGCAACAAGGGCATATGAATGTCCAAACACACCCTTATTATTCAGGACTTGCTTATTATCAAGCGCCGTTGGGGGAACAAAGTCAACAAACCAAGGTAACACAAGTTTCGGTTTGCAGCTCCCTAATGCCTCAAATGACAGAAGAAGGTTTAAAAAACTGGGGGGCTCCAAGGGATTATTCAACTACTCATCAACAGGGTCTGGAGCAGCAAATGAACTGTGGTGGCACCACTCTTGGAAGTGTTGGGTGTGGAGAGTTACAGTCTCTAAGCTTATCTATGAGTCCTGGTTCTCAATCTAGTTGTGTCACTGCTCCTTCTGGAACAGATTCTGTGGCTGTGGATGCAAAGAAAAGAGGACATGGTAAGATGGGTCAGAAGCAACCAGTGCATAGGAAATCTATTGACACATTTGGGCAGAGAACTTCGCAGTATAGAGGAGTCACAAGGTTAGTTTTGAAGCTTTCTTAATTTGTGTAACTTTTGCTGAGACTTCCAATCTTGAAATAAATTGGGTTTCTTTGTTTAGTCAATTATGTTTTTTTGGTAATAATTTTATCTTGTGATTGTTTTTCCATTAGGCATAGATGGACTGGGAGGTATGAAGCGCACTTGTGGGATAATAGTTGCAAGAAGGAAGGGCAGACTAGGAAAGGAAGACAAGGTTAGTGAGAGAGAATAGTAGTGGTTGACATTTTTATTATTTTTTTGGAAGTATTCTTCTCCATCAAAAGCTTTTGGTCCCTAATCTGACATGTGCCCACTAACTTGTGTCATGTGTTCGTGCTTGTGGACGATTATCAAATCGAACTTTGCATGTTGCAGTATATTTGGGTATGTCTCTCCTCTACCTAAAGACTTCACTTTTTCTATACCTTCGCTACTGTTTCTAACTGTTACGTGGTCAATTTGGTTTTTTGGACTAAAGGGGGTTACGATATGGAAGAGAAAGCTGCAAGAGCCTATGATCTCGCGGCTCTCAAGTACTGGGGACCTTCAACGCACATTAACTTTGCGGTAAATTTCATTTCGTGTAGCATGTTTGTTTCTTTTGTTTAATTCGAAACTTGTGTGAATCAGAATCCCATTCTTTTTGTTCTTTGGCAGATAGAAAATTACCAAGTTGAACTTGAAGAAATGAAGAACATGAGCAGGCAGGAATACGTTGCACACTTGAGAAGGTACACATATCGAGTAATTAAATAAAATTACCTAGGCAAAAGCTACCAATTATGTGATAATCAATGTGATCGAATATCTATTTGCTTTGCAGAAAAAGCAGCGGATTTTCAAGGGGTGCTTCGATATACAGAGGGGTCACTAGGTGCGTACGGTTCTCCTGCACCCTTTTTGTTCATTTGGATTAGTGACATTTTGGTATGGGAATTTGGGTTCAGTTCATTTTTTAATGTTATGCAGGCACCACCAACATGGAAGATGGCAAGCAAGAATAGGCAGAGTTGCTGGGAACAAGGACCTTTACCTAGGAACATTCAGTAAGTCCTAAATTACCGTCCACTTCTAATTACCAGGGGGGTCTTGGTAGAAACCAAGAATGCAAATTTTGGTGTATTTTTAAGCTGCTAGATTTGTTAAGAAAAGTAAACATCATATGGCATTTATTAGATTTCTGCTCCAATCTCTCTTTTCCCAAACACTTGTGACTAGTAGTGTGCTTTTTATAAGGCTGACCATACCTCTACTTTGAATGAAACATACCAACTTTTTTAAGGCTGTTACTCTCGCAGATAGGGATGGATAAAGGGTATCTTGACAAGAATGGTTTTAAAAAAAAAGTTCAAATTTTCTAAACCCCTTTATTATTGACCATTTATGCAATTCGACTAGTTACTAACTTACTACTTTGAATGAGTTAATCAATCACCGGTACAGTTCTAATAACATTGAATACTAATGTTAATTTTTCTTCTAGGCACTCAAGAGGAAGCAGCAGAAGCATACGATGTAGCCGCGATCAAATTTCGCGGCGCAAATGCAGTCACAAACTTTGACATTTCAAGATACGATGTTGAGAAAATCATGGCCAGTAGTAATCTTCTTGCTGGGGAGCTCGCAAGGAGAAACAAAGATAACGATCCAAGAAACGAGGCCATTGAGTACAACAAGGGTGTAGCAACAAGCCATAGCAACGTTGAAACGGTTCAAGCAAGAAACAACAACAATGAAAAGAATTCTGAGTGGAAAATGGGTTTGTTTAATCAGACGCCACATGGCTGTGACCAAAAAATAATGCACTGCGGAAATTATAGAAACAGTGCATTCTCTGTGGCCCTACAAGATCTCATTGGGATTGATTCGGTGGAGGAGTCTAGCAAGATTGGGACTCATTTTTCAAACCCGTCCTCGCTGGTGACCAGTTTAAGCAGCTCAAGAGAGGCTAGTCCTGATAAAACGGGTCCCTCGCTTCTGTTTCCAAAACCACCGATGGAAACAAAGATTGTGAACCCCATTGGTACCACTGTTGCTTCTTGGTTACCCTCACCAACGGTTCAAATGAGGCCACCTCCTGCTATTACTTTGTCTCACTTGCCAGTTTTTGCTGCATGGACTGATACCTGAAAAAGAGATACATCTGCTTCATTTTTCATTATCATGTAATGCGGCTAAAACATACTTTTGGTCTCACCTTATATTTTTTTTCTTCAATTTAGGTTATCTAAGTTTTAAGTTTTAAAAAAATCCCTTTGGTATCTTATAAGCATTTTTAAATTGATTATTCTGTCATTTATTTTATATTTACGGGGTTAATTCTGATAGATGCGGCAAATATTTGTCCAATATGACATATCTAAGTTGGTGCGGTAAATCGATGAAATGATCAATGTGGTCATCTTAACATACTAAAGTCAGGTTTTTTAAAATTTGGGTAGCTAAGGTATAACTTACCAATAGGATTTGATCAAAATTATTATTTAGTCACGTTATGAATTTTGGAATATAAACAAGATTTCTCATTCTTAAAATAAGATAAGAAATAAGTTAATAAAGTGAACATATGCTTTATTGGTAAGAAACTTTTAAAATGATACTAAAAACAAAATCATGGGATTTTAAGTTCAAATTCATAAATATGTTATTATTGTAAAATTGTTAATGCTAATAGTAAAATAATACAGAAGTTTTTCTAAAAAAATATGTCACTCTCAAACAAATTCAAAACATAACAATTCTAACAATGATGTGCATGTTATTATATAAATAAAAGAAAAGGTGGGGACTGGTGTTTGGAGGGATGAGAAGAAGTCCTTAATGGGATAAAGTTGGGTTTGAAGTAACATTTGGTTTTCTACTGTGCAAGGACGTGAGTGGAGGAATTTGGGGAATTAATGAAAGGCAGGATGGGGCCACCAATCTGTCATCTTTATGTAACAAGTGTAACATGGCCTTTACAAACATAGCCTTTTGGCTATATGTTGGAATGGAAATATGCATATTGAGGGAAAGAATTAATTAATGGGGGGGACTAATGATTAAATTCTATGAAATGATGTTTGGCAATATGGAAGTGGCCCTTACATTATTGAATTTTCTTTTTGGAGTTGCATCTTTTCTAGGTCCTGCTAAGTACAAAATCAGCTCAATGTTTCCCAATAATGCAATGTGACCACTCCTTTGACCACATCATCTCGTTTTGTAGCTAATGTGTTCCTCAGTCTGCAAAATACTATCATTGCATAAACCGTTCTTATCTCAGCTTTCTCCAAAGGCAGCTAATGCTCCATTCATTATTCAAAAAAGAAAAGGGGATCATTGTGGAGATTCTTGCATGAAAGTTTCTGGTTGGCTAAATCGTCATAATTACCTGGGTACACCACTAATTCTTTCTAAAATGAAAAGTGGCTACGTGGTTAAAAAATTCCATTGCTTTTCTCATTCCAATTGCCGAAATCCAGAGATGGATATTGGGACTTAAAGTGATTTCATGTCTTGATGTGGATGCTTTGGAGCCTTAACACAACTTGAGTCCATCATGTTATCGAGTGGTAGTTTTCCCACGTGTGTTTGTGTCTCCCTCGTGTGTAAGTATTTGTGCTTGATTGCACTACTATTCTTGATTCTTGACCATAGTATATATGGGACGACAACGAGGAATCAGTGCCGGGAAAGCTGGAAGTGGTTCATTCCTGAAGTTGGGAATAGCTGTTTCTTTGCATCATCTCTAATAATGCGTTTATAATCCGAATTATTTTATAAAACTATCTTTAACAAGAGAAAAAGACAGGTTCTAGTGATTTATCTTTAGGTACGGGGTAAATGAGTGATCAGATTAAGGAATCTAGATAGAGCTACCTTCCTTGTTTCTATTTCCTTCAGGGGTATTGCTGTAAACATATCGATTAAATAAGGTTTAATATTTCGTTTGGTGTGTGAGAGATTTAATTAAGTAATTTTAGAAAAGTTTAATTAGATCTTCAAATTAAAAAATTGTAATTAAGTTAATTGTTTTTAATATTTTTATAATTTAGTCTATGAAGTTACATATTTGTTTATAATGAGAAAATTGATAAAATATTTTTTATATCCTTATACATTGACAATCATATTAAATTATTTTTTCATGTAAACATTCATATATATATATATATATATATATATATATATATATATCAGATTTTAATCATGCACGTTTAATTTTTTTTACTATTCAAGAATTCCTATAAAGACTATGATTGAGGAGATTATGTGAATTTTTACGAATAGAAATTATAACCTGATATGCATAGACGATAAAATAAAGTAGTAATTTGATATGACTATTCAAATACAAAATTATAAAAAAATATTTTATCAAATTATATGAATTGTAAACGAGTTTGACCCTCATACAAAAATACAAAAATATAAAATAAAAAAAAATGAAGGACCTAGTTATAATTTTTTAATTTAGTGACTTCATTAAAAATTCTCAAACAAATTCAAGAACTAAATGATGTGTTAAATAATTAAAGACTTATTTGGATAAATTTATGGATAAACACTTTTAGGAAAGACAAGTAAAAAAGAATATTAAAGTAAGTATTTTCATAAGTTAAAACTAACCTATACATGTATTAAAAATAAGATTTTAGAAAAATTAATATAAAAGAAAACTTTTACAAATTAGTTTATGATAGAACTTATTTCAATCTTTTTCTTCTTATTTTTCTCTCCTAAAAATGTTTCAGGGGAAATTTATCCAATAAGATCCTAAGTAATTATTAAATATTTTTCAGTAAAAATAAAAACCACAGTAAAATACTTGTTTTTATTATTTTACATTAGTACTCTCAGGAGACTTATTTGTAATTTTATTTGAAATAGTTTGCTCTCAATTGAGTGATTGCAAGATGGTGGAGCCACGTCAAATAGAAGGGTTAGGTACACAAGTACTGTATACTCTCTTTACTTTAGACATGACAAATAGTTAATTAGAATCCAAAATAATAATCATGGCATTCTGCAGATTGTTAATAAAGCAACATCTCCTGTTCCAATTAATACTTGTCTTGGACTGGTAATTGCATCCAGCAAATGTACGTGGATCATTATTAATGTAATATTGCAATGGTAGGGCGCGCTCCATCAACGTCATTAAACAATATACTATACTTTTCCGTGGACAAAAATGCACACTTAGAACATATCAAGTAGGAGTTGTTTATAAGTAATTTTACTAAAATTTTAACAATTCATAAAATGGTTTAGAGTTGACGTGCTAGTGATGTGATACAAAAAATTGCTTATAAACAACTCTAATTGCAGATGTTTTTGTGGGAATGCATCCAAACCTTGCAAATTAACAGTATAGGCACGTGAAAAAAAAAGTGAGAGTATATTTGTACCATTTCCCAAGCATTAATGAACTAATTGAACCAGGTAAAATAATCGCCGAATACGATGCTGGTCAACGGATTTGTTCATTGGGGAGGATTGAACTTAGTCGTTCGAAAAAACGGTGGAAACCGCGAGGGATGATTAATTTGATCTTAAGCTTTTTTATATCCAAATAAAATGCATGAGGAAATAGGAATAGAAAAGAAATCTTTGTTGTAACAAAGGGAAAGCGGGAACGTCTAAAGTGAAACACAGCAAGAAGCAAGATTGCATGAAAAGCAAAAGGGTAAACTAGAATAAGAATATTGATGGTCAAAAAGCTAGCAAGTCTCGTGTAAAAGAAAGGAAAGTGAAAGATGTACCTCACTCTTAACAGAGGGAAAAAAGTAATATCCACTTCAGTTTTATTGTTTTTCTTTCTATCCGTAGAGATTAGTCAACAAATATGATTACAAATCTTATTATTGTGGACAGCCTATAACAAGCAAACAAACACAAACAAAAAAAAAAGTTCACAAAGACAAAGGACAGCGTTGGAAAAGCATGCTCTTGCACATGAGCTGGATTATGGTGCCAGTTTATCAGAATTTGAAAACTTAGTGAAAAATTTTTCAGGATTACGTACGTGTACATTGTTGCATTGAAGACATTGAAAGGACTTGACAATAGGATACGAAATTAAAGAACGTGAATGTGGTAGGTGTGAATTCAAAATGAATATAATTAAAGTTGAATAATTAGGCACACAGAAAGGAAAGATGAAGCTAGTTAACACGTAGCATGTTTTATTTGAGACAAGGTGTGAAGGCATAGGTCAAAACTCAAAACCAACGACTCATGAGCTTCCCTTTGAGGCAAAGAAATCCCATTTCCTTTTGTAATTTATTCCATTGTCAAAATAAATTGCATGATTGTAGGGTGGTGGTTGCTCTGTGACATCCTTTGAACAAGGGTGCACCATGTTTATTCTTATAAAACCTCTTCTTCCCCCCTTAATTTTTGGCATAGGCATGGCTACTGTACGTGTATTGATAAACTTTAATGTTTAAGATACATAAGGTCCCCCCACCAAAAAATAAAAATTATATATATATATATATATACACACACAAAAACAGGGTGCATGCATTGTAACAGAGATGGTCCCCAAAACATGCTTTAGCCTTATCTTGTGCTACAACTTGATTAAAACACCAAATTGGATGACGTATTCTTGAATAATAGGACCGTATAGGGGGACCAAAATATAACGTTGTGATTGTGAATATGTTTTGTGCTGTGTAATGAAAGAGAGAGAATAATATATGTGTCCCCTATGAACGAGCCATGTTTCATCCAGGGAGGCCTATGATACTATTACAATTTACAGGCTCTTTCTTCAAAATCTCCTCGTTTCAATTAGGACCCGTCCTTCTCAGGTAGCTCTAAGAAAATGGCAGCAGCGTTGTGCTACATGTGTTTCTCTCAATAATGTTTTTATTGTTGTGTCCATGAGAGTACATATGCATTAATATATGGGATCCATATATGCAATGCTAAGAAATTATACTAGTATAATACATGTCACTAAATAAGAACACAGGTATGTAAACAGAAATGAAAAATCAAATAATTAATAAATACTATATATGAAATATATGAATTATAAATAACATAATTATTATATATTCAATTTTTTTAATACGACAAAACATCCATATATATATATTTATATATATTGTTTTAAAAATATTATTATTATTATTATTATTATTAATATTATTATTATTAGTATTATTGGCCAAAATTCTCACTAATAATAATGATGTAGATATGATTAATTACTAAGGCATTACTAAGAGAAAAGTTTAAAGTTTATTATGAGATCATTGATTTGGTGGTCATCTCCATATAGTTGTGTGAGGGATATTTGTTGAATTTAATTTGAACTACTTTCTTATATAGAGAATAGCCCTAAAATATGTAAGTTCATTATGTCTTACTTAACAAAGTAAGGGGGTCAGGTTAGGGTAGAGAGTGACTCATTTTAAGAGAAAACAACAATAAAATATAGAGATAAGAGAAGAAAGAAAGTTCCATTGTTTAGGTTGCATATCCACTAGGACATTGTTTGTTGAATTTTAACTAGATATTTGTTCATCATTATATCAAGCTTATTTTTGGATAGCAGATTTGTATGATGTAGCGTTTCATATTTAACACTTAGATTGTCGAAAGACAATCTAAAGTGGGAGAAAAATGTCTTGTAGTTAGAATTTTGTTTTGAAATTTTTCTTCTTATTTTTCATTTGTAAGCAATTGTGCTTGATTTGTTATAGTTGATTGTAAACACCGTTTGATGTATCCATTGGAGACTCTCTTGTACCCTTTATTCATTGTAGTGAAGTTTTTCTTTAGTCTAAATGACTTGAAATTTTTACACTTACATTAAGGGAATTTTCATGTTAAAAATTTGTGTCTCTTTATGTCTAGATTATCTGTTATTGTTCTATTTTATTGGTTCTACTCATTAACTCTTGCAAGTAAGGGATTTAATTTTTAATGCATTAATACTTTTTTTAACTCTTGTAAGTAAGAGATTTAATTTTTGCTGCATTAGTACTTTTTTTATTGAGTTATTGTTATTGTGTTATAGTTTCCTCCATCAATGTAGTTGTGTTATGATTTTCTAAAATAATTTAACGCCGAAAGCCCCATAATATTACATACATACACATATATAGTTGTAATCTTAAAGAGTGCTATAGCTAGCCATAAAGTTTACTATAAATAGTGTACAAGTGTGAATAGCTTCTGTTCTACATATTGTATTTCTTTATAGTTTTAACTATTCTTCTATTACTATAATTTTATATAAATTATCTCTTACTCCTTATAAATTATAATTAAAAACGTTACTTATTAGTTTATGCATATAATATTTTTATTTTTTTAGTTCCTTATTATTATAAAAATTAAATGATAAAATTTATAAAATTATATAAATTTAAAAAGAAACAAAACCGATGCGTTCATAAACATAAGTGCAATAATTTTAATTATAAGGACTAAGGAATGAAATAATTTTAATTATAAAGATTAAGAAGTAGAATTCATGAAATTATAGAGATAAAAAAAATATTTAAACCTTCTTTATATATATACTCTGGTTTTTCAATTTCCATATTTTTTAGGACCAAATTTTTCTCCGCACAATATCTTTCCATATTTTTTACAACCAACTTTTTCTCCGCACAATATCCTGCATGATTTCAGTACTTGAATGCGATTTCCATATTGTATTTCCTAGAATCAATAAAAAATAATAATATTATAGATATGACTTTTAAGAATGTTAGGATAATAATCATCAAATTATATGTGGGTATGACAATATCAATTTTTTTTTATATTATTGTGCAACTATTTACTCTCTTTATTTTTTTATTTCTTATACCTAAAACTTTAAATATTTGAAACTTGAAAGCTACATTACATTTGGACTCATGGAAGTCAACTTAATCTACTCTTTGTTAACAGGGTAATAATAAAGTTATAACCCAAGGCCTCATATAAATTACGACTTCATTATTAGGCCCACTTAATTTTGTAATAGGAGCAATGGAGATAATAGCTTATAAAAATAAGTTTCATAAATTATTTTGAAGTATTTTATGAAAATTAGAAGAAGCAACTTATTTCTCCAAAGTCCTAATAAAGAATTACAACCATAATTGGCCACATTATTTACCAATATTTTCCAGAAGCCTCGGAGGACCTGGATGACGCATGGAGATAACAAATCTTTGATTTTATCAACCTCCTTGTGGGCATGGATTTCATTCACCTATTTTAGTAGCATGTAAAAATTAAAAAAAAATGTGTAAAAAAGAAGAAGAAAGTAGCAAATTAAAAGTTGGAAGAATAAAATTAGAAAATTAAAAAAAAAAACTATAATATTTTATATTTTAAAAAAAAAATTAAGGAGGTGTATTTATAAAAAAAAAGAGGTGTATATATCATCTAATATGAATCCAAGAACTCTTAAACGCGATCAATTAATACATTGAGAAATGACCCCAAAATCCATTCATATAGTCAACGAGCCCACCAAAAGAAATATCCATATAAGAGGGAATTCCTGCATCCAGTTTATTATATTATATATGTTCTAGAACGTCCATTCCAAAACAACAATGATGGTACTGGAAGGAAGCAATAAGATGGGTAAAGAAAGCATTTCTCCACGTAAGAATTTAAAAGAATATAACTTTTCTTACACTACTTCTACTGATCCAGCCCAAAACAAATGTAAAAGAGGCCTAAATGAGTATCTTCATGGCCCAAAAAAGATGGCCTGCTCCTTCTTTTGGCCAACTGACCATTTGTATGACCCAAACGTAAGAATTTTGATGGTTGTCCATAATGTTTCAACTCAATTTCTAAACGATATGTATTCGTAAAATAAAATTATTTATATTGATTCGTTTACATGGAAAGTGAAAACATGTAGCATGTTTGAGAAATATTTTTTTTCTATTAGTTCGGTTGTTTTCAATGAAAAAAAAAAATTGTTTAAATTTGTAAACAATTTTTTTTCTTTATAACTGATTTACTACATAAAATCTAATTTTTTAATTGTATTTAAACGAAATTAAACAATTAAAAGTTACTTTTCAACAAATTTTCTCAAACAAAAATTTATTCCGATTAGAATCGATTATAGACATAACCAATTATTAAAATAATAAACAATTTTTACAACTTTGACATACACACTCATGATGTCATAAATTATTGCAAAAGCTTTAGCTGGCTTGATGAGCTTTGACCAGCAAGAGAAAGGAAGCATCATAGTACCCATTTTCCTTAATCTATATCTAGCCTTTTCAGTTCAATTAAAGAAAATCTGACGATGATTGCATCTCATGAATTGGAGCTTTATGGGCTTGCTTCAGTTTTTCCTTCTATTTTTTTTAATCACGTAAAAACATGAGAAATAATAAAAGAAACCTGAATGCCAATTTTTTTTTATACAGTAACAACGACAAAAATTTAAACCTGGGCTAACTACTACTATCGTTAAGCCAAGCCTAATAGCTAATGAGGCTACCCCACTGAAAATTTACATAAACTTACATTAAATATCAACATGGATTATTGAGATAAATTACCGATTCTTATTGAAAATTACAGTGATTCTAATCATCGGAGAATACCATGTTTTGTTTTTTAATAAAACTAGTTTAAAGACGTGTTGGTTGCTCATGTGGCTTGAATTAAAAGGCCAATAAAACATAAGATTGGAGCTAATAAATTAAAACTCGTTTCTTAATGACTTGTGAAAGGGACAGGATTGAGCACAGTACCCATTACCCGGTATCTGGCCAGGTGCATCAAATGCTTAGTTAATTTCGGGATGAAAGATCAATTTTATCGAAGGCTAGTGGCATAAAATTCAAGGGTAGCACAGACATCCAGTTTATGTAGATTACAAAACTTTAAATGCTAAATCTTAAACCCTATACTCTAAAGTCTAAACACAAGAAAAGGAGATACTGTACTAGCAGAGAAAGTCACTTTAAGAAGTGATATGCATCATTTAAAAACACAACCGCTTTTAAGTTCTAAATTCTAACTGCTCCTGTACGTAAATTAATTCAAAAGCTTAAGCTAATCTAGTTTTAGCTTTTACAGTACACTACTGCTTGTAATTTACATTTTTCAGCTTCATGGATTAGAAAAAAAGCTTTTGTAACTAATATTTTGATTACACCTACTACTTTTTTTTTTTTCTAGTGCCCAAATGATCCAGACACATTTTGTCATCCTAATTCGATGCCTTTGGTCATTTTTTGTTCTTGGATTCCCGTCCCATAATTGACAGCAAGAGTCCTCGTGTTCTGTCTCCTAAATCGAAACTAACCTACACACTTGTGAGGAGTTGTTCTAGACGTATAGTTTAATGTGACGTCTTGAGTTTGAGTGATGATTATGCAGTTACTACCTGAAATACTTGAGGGAAAAGTTTTATCATTCATAATAATGCTACCTAATTTTAAAAAGATTGCTTCCTCTCGACGATACATGTTGAAAGTAACTACAATACTTCATCGTTTGCTCACTGGGTTTGAAGCTTCAAACCTTCCAAACCACTCAATGGGTCTTACTCCAATAGTCCAATTGTTAATTGAATTGAATGGAGGAATGGAAAACATAAGTTGTTTTGTGAACAGAGTAGAAAAGGGAATCTGATTTATTTGCAGTTTGTAGGCCTTATCAGTCTATCATATGTTGCTTGTCTGTGTCCACTTTATGCTCTTGAAGGTTCACTTTCTTGTCTGAGGGGAAGCCTTTTTCCCTTTTTCCCTGAACATTAATATGGTGATAGACCTAATCTTGCGATCTTTAAGGAAGAAGTAAGAAACTACTCAAACTAGCTGGTGACTCACGAGTAGATTATATTCCTTTTGCTTTGTGTCAATGCCACAATGAAGATCTTCTTTTACTTTATCCTTTCTCAGTCCTATAAAGCTGTCAAGGGCCAAGGCTATTTGTTCCTTCATGTGTCCTGCAAGATATCTCTCGTGCCTACGTAGTCAAAATTCACTTTCCCTTTAATCATGCACCAGTTTATTTCAACTCTAGAATAATCTAATCTAGAGTACATGTTGTACCACCAATCTACTTAAGTTGTTGAACTTATTGGTCTATATATATCTTTTATAGGTCACTACTTTCTTAGTTCTAGGTGTTTAGCAACTATGGATGGTATTCAAAATGATATGGGGCTTCAACATGGAAACAAGGGGATTCTGAATTGTCCATTATCGGGTTTGAGGACAAGTGTTTCTGAAATGACAGTTAGTTCTGTGTTTAAGGCTATGCCTTCAGGTGTGACTAATCCTTTTCTAGATTCTTCTGCTTGGGATCCTCTTGCTCCATTGGGTCAAACTTTTGGAGGCTCTCTTAGTGAGTTTGTCGATTCATCTCACCCTCCTTTTGTTTTGGAAAACCAGGGAATAAGCAACGAGCCTCACCTTGTTCAATATATATCTGACTCAAATTTTGCTTGCATGGCCCCTAAGGTTCCCTCCTTTGGCCAAACCGGTTCTTATTATATAGCTAACACAGGGTATCACCCAAATCATGATCCGTGTAATGAGCAATCTCAGGTTGAAGGTTCAACTTCTGAAGGAGTTGCACCTGGTGAACATAAAAGAAAGAGAGAACTTGTTTCCATTTCTACTTTCAGTCCAAATAAGGTAGGTCCAATGTGTTATGTTTATATCAAAATCGATTTTGATGTAGAGTGTTTCATTGACTTATTTAGTTGATGAAGCGGATGAATAAAATGCTTTTTAAAAACATTGTTTAATTAGAATGATGAGGGGGAAGCAGTTAAAGATTCTCCTGGAACGAGCTCTGATGATGTGAAGGAACAATATGTAAAGAAACCAAAAGTTGAACAAAACATTATTGCAAATTTCAGTGGAGAAGTTCCCAAGGAAAACTTCATTCATGTGAGAGCCCGAAGAGGTCAAGCTACAAACACTCACAGCCTTGCAGAAAGGGTACCACCATCTTAACATAAATATTTATTATAAGAAACCCAATTTTTATTTGATAAATTAGGAGATATAACACTTTTTGTTAGCAGATAAGGAGAGAAAAGATTAGTGAGCGAATGAGGTTGCTTCAAGAACTTGTTCCAGGATGCGACAAGGTTATTAGAGATGATTGTGTTTGTCACTATTGCTCATCAGACCATGATTATTTCTGGTATGTTAATTTTCTGCTGTCATTGGCTTTCAGATAACAGGTAAAGCGCTGATGCTGGACGAGATTATAAACTATGTGCAATCACTGCAACAACAAGTTGAGGTATGTTACTATTTATGAAATCTAAAAAATAGCAACTTTTCTGTATTTTTTGGACCATATTGGACATTCTATTTATTTTTCAAACTCTAGTTCTGATCTGATTTCCTCACTGTGGACATTCCATTGTCATGATTATTCAATTGCTGGACTTATGGAAATATATTTTGCAGCTTTTGTCCATGAAACTTGCCACTGTAAACCCAGAATTGAATTTTAATGTAGAGCAAATCTGCTCCAAAGATGTAAGTGAAGGTCTTGAAAGATTAATATTTTAGGTTCACTGAAATTTTAGTACAAATTTAATATTTAACCTAATTTGGTTCCTTAATCTCTCATTCTCTAGTCAAATATTGGACTTGGACCAATTGGTGGATATGGTTCTGGCATCAGCTGCACTCATCCATTTCCTTCTAGAAGTCTCCAGGGAGGCATGCCTAACCCATCAACACAATTTCCTCTTATGCCACCGGTAAAGTCTAAAGAGTGAAAATCTCTTGTTTGTGATTTGCAAAAAATTAATTATACATGTATATATGCAGGCTGTTTTGAACCAAAGCTTCGAGCTACAATTCCAGTACAGCTCTTGACAATTAGGGAAACAGTGGTAATACTAACAGGCAGAAACTTCTTTGGGATTTAACACTCCTGCATAATCAATTCCAATTGTGTGTAATTCATTGTCATTTTAAGCAGGATGGTTGTAAACAGAGTTATAGAGTGTGAGATATGTGCCTATTTGAACAGAGTTTGGAATTATTGCCAGATGATTGCACAAATTAACTGAAGTTGGAAGCAGGGATACTAAAAGTATAGGATCTTAATATCTAACTGTTGGTTCTTCAAAATTTTAGCAGAAGATGATTGCTGTCAACTAGTTGTTCACATTGGAAAATGAGGGTACATTTCTATCTAAAAATGTGGGGTACTATTTGGAAGGGTATTTTTTTTTTAATGTAATGAATGAAAAGCTATTTACTGGTTAGTGGTTACTGCATGGAGGAGTAAATGTGTCGGGATCAGGAAGAGATACTGTTTTGAGTGGCACCGGTGCTCTGTTCTTGGATACTTACCGACTGCCCCAATGGATCGTGTCATTCTTTTGTTAAATATTTATTATATGTAATTAAAATTTATAATAAATAATATATATAAATATATATTATGTTTGAATATATAAATTATACATTAAAATTTATATAAATAATTATTTTTAAATATATAAATTATATTTTAGAGATATGATAAATAATATGTATTATATTACAATATTATTTTTGTTTATTGATAATTTATTTAAAAATATTAAAATTTAATTTATAAATAATTATGATTAAAAAAATAATATTAAATAAAAAGTATTAAAAAAATTGATTAATATATTTTTAATAGAAAATTTCTAAAAATAATCTAATATAAAATGAAAATTTATATTAATATATAAAAATTGATTTGGAGACTATATTCATTACGGACATCTTATAAAATAGTGCATGATATATGTTTTTGAATATATATATATATATTATTTTGAATTAATGCTATACATAATTGCATTATTTAGTGTTTACAGAAGAGTGATAAGGTGATTCGAGTAGTTTGGGAAAAGACATAAGGTTGGATGGGAGTGATAAGGTAGATGTGAGTTTGAATCCTCTATTTACAACTAATAATTAATAATTAATATTTGTTGATAAAAAAAAATATTTAATGTTTACACATTACACTTTTATAAGAGGATTAGGAATACATATTTAAGAGAAGGTTTAATACATAATTAGATTTGATAGTATAGTATAAGACTTATAAAAATTCTTTTTTATGTAGAACAATAACAATGACAATTGAATCTATGTTTTCATATATTTATCTTTAACTCTTCATCATTATGTTAATCCTAATAGAATATATACTTCTTTTAAAATCAAATATAAAAGAAAAAGAATTAATTCACACACTAATTAAAAAAAAATATATTATTTTAATTAAACTAGCTTATAAATTAGGTTTTTTGACTCAATTAGGATCATTATGGATGCATTTTACATGAATGAGGTCGTTTTCAAATAATATCTCACTTTTGGACAGTCAATGGTAGGTGTCATTGGTCAATCCAATAACACTAATGCCACGTTTTTTCAAAATAAAAATTGGTTTATGAAAGGACATATGACACCATTTTTATGACACTAGAATCACTTGCGTCACTTGTTTATTTTAATATTTGTTTAGGTGACACTAGACCAAAATGAGACATTTATTTATTTGTTAAACTAGTGTCTATGTGATCTGGCATACAACTCCAACATCACAAAATCGACATCATGTATCCTTTCATAAACTAATTTTCATCATAAAAAAATGTGGCATTGGCTCGTTGGGTTGACCAATGAGACCCACCATTAACTATTCCAAAATAAGATATTGTTTGAAAACAACCTCATTCATATAAAATATTTTCATAATAACTTTAATTAAGTTAAAACTGAGAATTTAACCTCATACATTTGAATTTAAAAAAAATAATAAATAGATATTATTAAATCAAATCACTCATAGTATTATATTCTCCAATTAATTAATAAAAAAATTATTATTTAATCTATTTGGAAAAAGTGATGTTACACTAGCTTACCTTTATTTATTTTCATGTGATTATATTTGGTATTGGAGCAGAGATAGGTCTGCAGTGATGTGTAGTAAGATTTCATCACACAAATGATTGTTCTATTAGTTGTTTTGGGCAACTACTCTCATATAACTATTGTATAGAAGTTGCTTGACCAATAATTTAGGACTTATATTTTGCTTTCATTGGATGAATATATGTATACTATATGTACTTATAGTTTTATACTTGTGTTTATATACATGTTATATTGTACGTATCTAGATATAACGAGTATATAATTATAGGTTAAGTTGTTATATTTTCTATTGTTAGTTATGGATTCTATTAAGTGTAATAACAATAGTGGATCGTTAGAGTGATATGATATAATGTCATGTCATCGATTAAAATGTTAATATAATAATCAATGGTTAATTAACAAAGTGAGAAATTCAATTAACATAGTGATAAAATGTGCGAAATTTTTAGAGTTTAAGTGACAAAATTCATAAAATCTTAAAATATGTGACCAAAAAATTATGATAAAACCTAAAAAAAATGCCATTACATTATTACAACAACATATTTAAAATATAAGTGTAACTGTTTTTATTACTAATTTTAAAGTATTACATATGAAAATACAACACTATATTTTAAATACGAGTCCATATTTTTTTTTCTAGACCATACATATTATTGATGCTTTATTTTATTAGTATTATAATATTTAAAGCATAGTTGCATATTTTATATTTGAACTTATATCATTGGTTAAAAATTTTTATGTCAATTGCTCACGTTTTAATATTTTATTAGACATATATTTTATTTTAAAATATACATTGAAAATACTGTAAGAGTTGGTATCACATTTTGTTTTATGAATGATTGAATATGATTTTATGAAGCTGCTAGAAGAATGATGCTGATGGTCTTAAATTTAAACTCTATTATTGTCATAATAATTTTTATGGATAAAAAATCTAAGTTAATGAGATTTTAAGATAGAAATTCATTGACATTAAACAATTTATTACTAAAAATTGAATGATTTAATCACATAAATGAAGATGTTTCAATGAGAAATTAAAATAACATTAATGAAGATATTCCAATAAGAAATAAAAATGATAAAATGAATATTAAGAAAAATACTCTTTTGAGGGGAAAAAACACTAAATAATTGGTAAAAATAGAGTGTATTAATTAGGCTATTATTGATATAAAAATAATTTATTAGAGAAACGATCGAATAATCAAATGATGGAAATAAAATATATAAAAAGACCTTTCGATATAATAAAATATAAGTTTCAGAAATGTGCCCCCATTCAGGAATAGTGCGCAAATCCATTTTTTTTTATAATAGAAAATATAAAAGATTGTACAAATATTACTTTAGTTATTTTCAAAAAAAGAAATAACAATGTGGAAAAAAAAAATTTTTTTGCATTTATATTTATATTTTAAAATCATAAATGCCGAAGTAAATGAATAATAGCCGATAAATAAGTGCACGAATTCAAATATACAATAATGAAAACATTAAAATTTACGACCCTTTTCCTAATACATCCCAAATAATTAAAAACAATATTTTGCAAAAATGCATTAAAAAACAATAATACAATTTATTAAATTAATAAGACAATTAGAAGAAGAAAAATCTCCGCAGTGCTCCTAATTTGGAAAGTTTTTATTTCTAATTTTAGTTAGAAAAATATTGTTTTATTTTCACTTTAATTATTTTCAAAATTAAAACAAAAATCAGTGAAAATATTTATTTTTGCATCAAACATTTTTATTTAAAAAATGAAATCCATTATTTTAATAAATTGATGAACAAATTCAAACACTTTTCATTGCCAAAATATTATTTTATTTTTTACTTTAATTATTTTTAAAATTAAAACAACATTTTCAATTTTTCTTTATATTAATATTCTATTTTAAAATTTTAAATTCATAAATATAATAGATGAGTAAATAATAAATGAATGCACATATTCAATAATTCAAATACTCTCGAAAGTAGAAACCATTAATTAAAATTAATTATCCTTCCCTTCAAGTTGTTGTTGAATAATGAGCTACTTTAATTTAAGTTATATTTGGATAAATTTCTCAAAAAACATATAAAAGAATAAAATAAGAAATTTGACATAAATTTAAACTAACTTATATATAAGTTAATTCATAAAAGTTTTATCATTTAACTTTCCTTACATAAATTAATTTTAACATATAAAAAAGTTAAATTCACTTTTTCTTTTTATTTTCTTTTTAATAAATATTAAGAAATTTATCCAAACAACACCTTGCTTGTTTCAAAGTTACATAGTTCATAGTGCTACAAATTGGTTGAATTTAAATAATGGTGTTGCTATCTTGCAGGTTGTCATTGTAAACTTTTAAACTGGAATGTCTAATCTGAATATATAAATTACACAATCTCGGATCAAAGTGATTTCTCTATAAAAAAAAAAAAAAAGTTGTACCAGCTATCTACAGTTCTCCTCCTAGTCTATTTGAATGATATCTAATTTCTGCAAACATTTATTTCAGAAATGACTCAGTAGGTGCAAACATCATATATTTGGTAAATGAAATATATATACCAACCAGAAAGATTACACCAACGACTTCTGATACATGGGCTTAGATTTAAATCATTTTTTGGCCATTTATATCAATTCGCAAGGTCTTATAGATCTCTGTGATTTGGCGATAGTAACAATGAAAAATAAGAATCTTACTCATACAAAATGCTTAGCGTGCGTGTTTGTCACGTGTATATTCATTTAAGTTAATGTTTGATAAAGAAGAAAGAAATAGATGAGAAGTAAAATGAAAAGAAATATATGAGAATTAAAATAAAAATTTGATTATTCAGTTGGTTGAAGAAAAATATGTAAAAAATATGTGAGAAATAGGATATATATAAGAAAAAAAAAAGAAATAAATAAATAAGAAGATAGAATTTACTATTTTTTAATTTTTTTTTTCTATTTTTCTTTAACCAAACAACCTCTCTTTTTTTCACTCTCTCTACCCTATTTCTTATCCATTTTTTCTCTATCAAACAAGGCATAAGAACATTTTATTCAAGATACAATTGGAGTACTAATGTGAGGATATATTTTTAGAAATTCAGGACTAGCTGTAAGTTCTCTTATTTAACTTACATTTTCAATTGCATTTAATAATTTAAAATTTATTCCGTCAAAAATAAAAAAACAATTATAGCTAACTTTAAGCGCATAGTATGTGCAAAATAAATAAGAAATACAGGAGAGATAAGAGAACGCAAAAAAGAAATTAGTTTGCTCATTTGGTATAGAGTATATAATAATTGAAGAAATATAAATTTTATGGTGGGCTCCACCCCTTTCTCTCTTATATATATATATA